GGGGAATGAGGACCCGACAGTGACCCCCGGAACAGGGACCACCCCCAAACGGGCCCAGACACCCCTGGGAATGAGGACTCCCCTGGGAATGGCCAGCCCCCGGGGGAATGGGAACCCAACAGGGACACCCGTGACAGGGCCAGACTCCCCCAGGGAACGGGGATCCCCGGGACAGGGACAGCCCCCTATGACAGGGAAGACCCCCAGGGAATGGGGACCCAACAGGGACACCCGGGACAGGGACAGCCACCCCCACAACACTCAGGCAGTGACCTCCCCGGGCTGTGACCCGCTCTGAGCAGGGACACCCCCAGTGCACTACCTTCAAAGCCGGGATCCCCCACCCAGGACAGGGACCCCCCTGGTGTATCCCCTGCTCCAGAGCAAAGTCACACCCCCTGGCAGCCACCCCCTGAGGAGGGGCCCGAATACTGGGGCAGTGGCACTCCCAGGCAGGGTCCCGCCCCACCCCACTGCAGGGAGCACTTTGGGTCCCCAAATCAGGAACCAGCCTGGGTCCTCCCAGCCAGAGCACTCCCACCCCAGGCAGGGCTCACAGCACTCAAAGCCCTTCCCTAAACTGGGATCCCACAGCCCCAGATCCCACAGCCTCCCTGGGGCATCCCACCCTAAACTGGTAATYTGGTGGGGTTGAGGGAGGCAGAAAGGTCCCACTGTGAACCCTGCCCAGGGCTCAGATGGGGTCGGTCCCATGGGATTGAGCTGATTTGTATCAATTCCCAAAGATTTGTGTGAGGGCGCATTGAGGCCCTGCTTGATCTCTGAATGATAAAAATTAAAGGAAAAAATAGATCTGGGTTTTATTAACACAGAAACAAACCAAAACCAGGGAAAACACAGGAAAACCCCAGCCAGGAACCAACCTTTTTCATAAAAAATAATAACAAAAACCTGGGAAACAGAAACTCATGGCAGCTCTGGCTCAGGGATTTGCTGGGAATAACCCAAATTCCACTGGAATACAGRATCAGAGCCACCCAGGAGAGTGCAGGGAAGCGAAATCCTTCCATGGTGTGAGTCATGTCCCCATGTCAGGCGATGAAATCCAGGGGCCTGTTGAATCCTCCTTTTCTGTTCATGTATTGCCTGGGTGAGGATGGAGCCAGAGTCAGCCCTGGATCCAGGGAAATTGGGACAGAAGTACCTGGGGGAGGCTGGGAATGGGGATCAGCAGCCATAGGGAACCCAATTCCTTGTGAATTTGRCCAAAAAAGGGCAGGGAGGCTCCCAGAGAGGAGATGCTCTGGAGGTTGGGCTGTGTGAGGATCCTGCCAGCACTGCCTGGCTGTACCCCCAAATTCCCATTGACAAACTGGGTGGTTTTTTTTGGGAATAAACCAGGTGAACAGCGTTGCTTCCCCCTGCTCTGATCCCATTMAGGCCTCACTGGGCACACCTCACCCTGGGGTTCCTAACGTGCTCCTTACTCCTCATCCTCCTGATTTTCCCACTCCCAGGGGATCTGGAGAACTCTCACCTCTGCTTTTGCTTCTAAACCTCACAAAATTCCCATTTTTCTCAAGGCCTGGAAGCTGGATCACCGTGAGACAGTGGCCACAGTTACAAAACAAAATCCTCTTTCTATCCCAAAAAAAGGGGACACRCACCTGTATTTCCTCTTCTGGGACACGTTGATGGCGTAGGCGTTAGCAGCACCATCCACCTTCTTCCCCTGAGGAGAAACATCCCAAAATCCCATGGATTGTKCCCAAACAGGGCAGGTGACACTGCRGAGCCCACAAGAGTGGCCTTGGGCCTGCACTCACCTTGGTGGTGTCAAAGGAGGCAAAACCCATCATCTTCATCATCTCGATCTCTTCCTCAGTCTTGCCTTGCAAATCCTCCTCTGAGGGAAGAAAATCCGGGATTGGGCAAACACAGATGTTGGGATTCCCAATAATCTGGGTCTCCCTGGGCTGGTTCGGGCCCCACAGGGAGTCTGGTAGTGTTCCAGAAGGAAAATCCCCCCTCACCTGTGATCTGCCGCTCCTTCTTGGAGTCCTTGAGCTCCTTCTTCTCCTCATCCCTGCGCTCCTTGGGCCGCACCGGTGACGAGGAGCTGGAGCGGTGCCGGCGTGGGGACCTGCTGGGGCATGTGAGGTGGGGCTGCAATTCCCACCTGGAGCTCCCACTGTCCCTGGGTCACCCAGGCTGCCATCACCTGGCTGTCCCCACCCCATGCTGGTGTCCCTGCCCTCTTTGGATCACCCTTGACCTCACCTGGGCCATCCCTGCCATCACCTGGATCAACCCTGTCCTCACCTGGATGTCTCTCCCCTCACCCAGATGGTCCCCACCCTCACCTGGACGTCTCTCCCCTCACTTKGATGGTCCCTGCCCTCACCTGGATCGTCTCCGGTGTGGGGAGCGGGACCGGCTCCTCCTTCTGTCCCTGTCCCGGGACCGGGATCGCTCCCGCCGCCGCCTGTCCCTGTCCCGGGATGTAGAGCGCGAGCGCCGGCGCTCTGCCCAGGGAAGGGTCAGCTCCTGCTTCCCCGACCACTTCCCAAAGGAAATCCCCACAGAAAATCCCAGCTCCCAAGCAGAAACCCCAGGACAGCCCCTTCCACCCCCCGAGGACAGTTCTGGGCTCAGGAACCCCCATGGGCACCCCCAGGAGTGGAAAGACCAGCAGGAAAAACCTCCACCTGGAGCACGGGGAATCATCCAGGAGGGAAATCACCCGGGGGGAGGATCAGCCAGGAGGGGGGAGTTCCAGCTATAGGGTGATGGTCCCCAAAACCCTGAGGAAGGTGGAGAGGGGGGGGAAAAGGCGGAGGGGGGAGGAGAGGAAAAGGAGAAGGAGATGGAGGAGAGAAGAGATGAGGATGGGGAGGGGGAAAAGAGGAGGAAAAGGAGAGGAGGAAAAGGAGAAGAGGAGAAAAAAGGAGAAAGAGGAGGAGGAGAAGAAAGCGAGCAGGAAAAGAGAAAGAAAGATGAAGATGTAGGAGAGGATGAGAAGGAGGAAGAGGGACGGAGTCTCTGCTCTCCCCAGAGCGAGGACCCTCCCGCCCTGGAGGGTCTCAGTCCCAGCCCCGGGTTTGGGGGAGCCCTGGGCCGCCCTCGGGCCTTGCCCTTCCACTCGCCACCCCAGGGCCCCGATCCCCCCGGGCCTCGTCCCCGGAGCCCCCGCCCCGGTGCCCCTGGACCTCGCCCGAGTTTCCCGTCACCCCCTGGGTCCCCCCGCGTCCCCCTGCCCTCCGGTTCCCCGGTCCCCCCTCACCCCGGCGCGGCGGCGAGCGGGAGCGGCTGCGGCCCATGGCCGCCCCTCAGCCCCGGCGCGGGGCTCCCACGGCAGCGGGGACAGCGGGGGCAGCGGCGGGAGCGGGGGCAGCGCCTGAAGGAACAGATCAGCACCGCATCGGGACACGCCGGGCCGGTCCCGCCGCTCGGCCCGGGAGCCCGCCCAGCCCGGAACGCGAGGGGAGGGCCGGCAGGAAGGGGAGGGCAGGAAGGGGAGGGCAGAAGGCGGCGCAGGCGGTGGGGCCGTTACTCTGCACCGGCTGTTGATCGCTCGTTCCGCGTCTGGAGCGCTCCGTCCCCCCCGGCACGGCCCGGCTCCACTCGTCCCTTCCCCAGGCCCGTCCCCTCCCTGCTCCCGGCCCGTCTGCGCGGGTGGAGCCGCATCCTCGGCTCGGAGCTCCGGCGGTCCCGGGTTCAGTCCGGCGGGTCCCGG